TTCCATTCGGCTTGGATAAAGGGCCCAACCCTGAGAGTGACGAACATTCCGCTTGCTTGAACAAGCTTAATGAACTTCACCAAGTCATAATTGCCCTCAAAGTTGAATTGTCCCGGCTGTGGCTCGTGAGCATTCCAAAACACGTAGGTTTGAATGACATTCAAGCCTCCACGTCTTGCATTATCAAGAATGATAGGCCACATCTGCATTATTCATACATATTATTATTTGCATGTATTTGTTCAACGACAATAATGATAATAGTATTATGATGGAACCAACTTACGTCTGGGGTGCTTCGTGGATAATGGATGGAACCAGAAAACAGCATCTCACGTCTTCCATTGATAAAGAGTGACTTACCATCGTAAGTAACATTTTGAGGGTTCAAATGGCGACCATGTTTTCCCTTGTGACCACCACGTGCATGTGCCGCAGTGACGACGATGGAAAGCAAGGCGATGAAAAGAAGAGTGCGAGGCATGCTGGATTCCATCTGGATAATTGAAGGGAGTGTTTGAGTGAGCCAATGCTGGGCTCCTCCTCCTCAGGTACGAGAGAGAGAGCTGCCCTGAAGCTGATTTCTCACCTATTCTTCTCACCTATTTATACTCCAATAATATGGACTAAATATTCATCGTCAATCTCAATCAAAATTAGATCTTTCTTAAAAAAACTGTTTTTTATATTAATCATAGAATTAATACTTTATTTAGACTAAATTTGTTGGAATGTATCGGAGCATCTTTCGCCACTGGAACAGTTCGTTAACAAATTGAAGTTGACTTCTTTTTAAAGAAAAAAATTATTTTAACATTACTATTCATAAAAGCAACTGCATTTTATAATATATTAATAAATTTATTTTTTTTAATTTATTAAACCTTTTAATAATTATTATATTAATAAAAATGAGTTTTCAAAATATTGCCCCTTTTTTAATGTTCCCTTCTACAACCATCAAATAATAATGATAGATATTTGTGAAAAAGGATTGTCAAAATAAAAGTTTTCTTTTTAAAATTTTGGCAATTAACTAAAAGATGATAAACAAATAAGAAAAAAATATTTCACGCACAATCGTTATCAATCACTTCTAATGTCTATTTCATGGCTTTTATTTTCCTCCATACTTCGATGAGTTAGTAAGTCAAAGAAATGAGCTAGTAGCCATTTTACTAATAACAAATTTAATAAAAATATTATGGTAGCATTTAAAAACAAAAATTTTAAATATTAAACGAGTGGAGAAAACGTATGTAAACTTATTTACGAATTAAATGTAAAAATTGATTTTTTTTTAAATTGAACTTATATATATTTGTTCACAATTTGTAAATTGAATGATAAAAATATTTATAATGTTTTAGAAATTCCTTCTTAAATCTGGATAACAACAGATTAATAAATACAATATTAATTAATCAGGTATATTAAGAAACACAGAAAATCAATAATTAAATAAAGATGAAAAAAACATATATTTACAGGTAATCTATACTGATTTAATTCAAACAGTTTTTCTAAAATCTTGAATATTTAGTTTATATAATCTCTCTACATACACCGCTTTTCAATAATTTATTTCTTAAAAATTTATTAAAATAATAATACAAAATGTAGAATTTTACTGCAGTAAACTTAAGTGTAAGAGAAAATAAAATAAAAATATGAATTAGAGTAATACCACTTCATTCTATGACAAATTTTCCGAACAAAGAAAAATAATATAAAGAAGAAACTATGAAGCATGTCAAAATTATATGTGATTCTTTAATACTTTGAGAAAAGAATAGGTGAAACACACGGTCTGATAGACTTCTTGAAATCCATTTTAGATTTTTAGAAGTATTTGAATTTATCCAGAGTTATTATTTTCAAAAGTATATATTTTAATTTCCATAAAGATGAATTAATTGAATATAATTAATAACAAATGATTATATTATTCTTTTATAATTATAAAAAATAAAAATTTAATTAGTTATCTTTAATAATTAATTATTTATGCATATATGTATATAATCATTTTTTTTCTTTGTTATCTTTTCAACGAAATGAGAGAGATTTCTAACGTTCGAAAATTTTAGTTTTTTTTTCCTTCTATTTTGTACATATATTTTTAAAAGTAAAAAAAATAAATAATGTTTTTTGAGAAAAAAACTTAAACAAACAAATTGTTAAAAACATTTAATTGGGATATCAATCATTTTGGTAAGAAAAAAAAAACGAGAACGAAGCTAATACGAATAAATCTGTAAGAAAAACATTTCGAATTTCATGTAAAAAAATAATAAAATACTTATTACTATCAATATTGCAAGAGTTGTTTTTTTTTTGGAAGATACAAATTAAATAAACCAACTCAAAACCTAAAATATATCAATAAGAATTTAAAAACAATCTATCTCCAGGTGTACTCGATAATATCCTAAAGGTTAAGTATAGAGAAGTCCAAATATTATTTATATACGTTCATTTGATAAAAATAAAATTCTCATAATTTTTGGAATATAATTCTGGTAATTTGATAAAAGATAAATACTATCCTATTATTTCCTTACACACCAAAGAATTTCCAACATGAAGTCAAAATTATAAAATAAAATTAAGAAAACAATGATTCCAACCATAAAGGCAGTGATTTTGTTGTGTCATTCCAAATATTGTTGTTATTTCAGGCAATTAATATTAATTAAAGTTTTAACAATAAGCGAACTTTTTTCCGAGTGAAAAAGAAAGTAGCTACAAAGTATAGCTTCGCAAATGCGAGCGCATAACGATTGTACATGAACTAACGGACCTCTTATTCAAAGTACAGAGTGAATTTGGTCCGATTAAATACTTCCAGAAGCATAACACAATTTAAACCAGACTGAAAAGGTGCACAAAAGGCTACACTTGTTGAAAATTAAATCAAGGATTGTAACACTCAAGTGACTGAAAATAACATGACATGAATTTCAAATATGTTACCCACCAAACCCAGCAGCTTGCTTACTCTGCAACTGTTAAAAGCTGATCGTTTTTCTCATTCACTTGCATCATTCTTCCATCCATGTACGAGTATATATGGCAACAGCCAACCCATCTGTTACTCATTTACTGGGGACACTAGCCTTTCAGTCTATTCTATTTTTATTTAATTATTACTAGCAAATAGTAACACGTTTTTTTCATTTCAGTTATTTGCAGTTTAGATACACTCTATTTGATATTTATCCGGTACCTGATCTGAGACCAGTGTATACCTTGTCTTTTACTTCAATGATATGATTCATTTTTCACGTAAACATAAACAAGACAATTTAACATAAAAAAAAAATAGCTATTACTAATATCCAACATGGAAAGACCCATGAAGTTACGTTTCCATTGCTAGCCAAATCATTACATGCACCAGTTTCAACAGCCCAAAAAATATATATAAGGTCAAATGATATGGCATAATACAATCAATAAAGGAAAAAAGAGGAAGCTTAAAAAGCTTTTATTAAGTAAAGATAGACCTAATTATACAAACAAACACCACAAATGGCGAATTGAACTTTCACACAATTGCTAAAGCCTGAAAATGCTGCCTGAACATAGCTATCCTCACAACAACTAATAAGTACCTCCCTCACCCCCTTTAAGAGGAGGTTAAAACAGATGGGTGGTCAAAGAATATTTTGCAGCACAACTTCTTTCTTTAGTCGGCTCTAGACTGGCCAGCGCGAGAGGACAGGATAATACCAACAATGAGACCATAAAGGGCAAGAGCTTCAGCAAAAATGAGGATGAGAATCATTCCAACAAAAAGTTTTGGTTGCTGTGCATTAGCTCTGCAGAAGTAGATTGACTCAATCAGTAATATTTTAAAGGGAAAATCAACTGTCAAATTCACAACAAATCATGCTAGGAAAGGCAGATAGATAGATGTTTCATGAAGGATCATAAGTTATTTGACAGTTGAAAAGGCTAGAGACATATTGAACAGTAATTCCCTAAAAGAATGGTTCGGCAATGCTAAAAACGTACTCAGGAAACAGGGCAATGATGTATAAATAAATGCACGTAGAACGTATTTCATGTGAGAGTTAACGGATCCCATAGCCGAATGTTCCCATGCAATATCGCAAGTCAATCAAACCTTAAAATATCAGCAAATACGAAACAAATCATACATCAGAAACAAGGTAGAAAAAGGTTATACCTAACACCAGCATCACCAACAATACCAATAGCCATGCCAGCAGATAGCCCAGCCAAGCCACAGGCGAGACCGGAGGAAAGATGTGCGTAACCATCAAAGAGGTAATAAGATTTGGCCTTTGGATTAATACCGGTACTAATAATAACAGCAATAATAAGGCCATAAATACCCAAAACTCCAGCCATGACAACAGGAACAATAGACTTCATCACCAGCTCAGGTCTCATCACACCCATGGAAGCCACGCCCACACCACTCTTCGCTGTGCCGTAGGCAGCTCCCATACCTACCATCAATTCAAATTGAAATTTAAATTCCTAATAAGCTCACAACTTTTATCACTTCATATTCAAACAACCCTAAGATCGATCAATTACTTTCACACGAGAGAGGAATTTTTTACATGAAAGTATTCCGATTTCCTCAGACACCGATCAATCTGTTTTCAAATTTCATACTAACTATTTGCAGTAACTAATTGAATCTCCAACATCAAATGTTCCAAATTCAACAACCATGCCCTCCTACACTAAAGGAGTATAATAATTAGGAAGAAATATACGGTTCTGAGCATTAGAACAAGAAATTGGATTAAAAGTGAGATTCACGAAATCATTATAAAAAAAACGAAACGGTAAACACGGATCTAATTGAAGTGATCGGGTAAATGAAAAAAGTGGATTACAGGAGAAGACGAGGGCGGCTGCGGCCCCGAGGAAGCCGAAAAACGGTGCCGTTTCATCACCGCTGAAACCAGCCATGAGCGTAGATGGATCTACAACGACGTCGGATAGATCTGAGAAATTCAAATTCTCGGGAGAGACCGATCTCTGTGTGTCTCGATGATTCTGTAGTCGTGAAGGGAACGTGAGATTTCCACGTCCATTCCCTTTATAATCTCACGTTTTATACCCGACTTGAATCTCCATTTGGGCGGGTCAAATGACCCAATTTTTCTTCTGCTCTTAGTACGATGGGCCTTGACCAGGGCGAGGCCCATCTTTTAATATTACAGATCGAAAATTTTATTCCTAGCCTACAATTCCCAGTTATTAATAAGATTGGAAAAGATAATATGAAGAACTTGGATTCGGTTTATTATAGTGTCTTTAGTCGTATTTTCTTTTTCTTTTTTTAGCCGAAGTTGATATAAGGTTTTTTGTTTAGTAGCAATTAATTTCAGTTTGTTTATAGTAAATTATTTAGCTTGTAAGAATACAAAGTTTATTTCACCAAAATAAATGTGTTTAATATTTCAAATTACTTCAATAATTTATAATATTTTTCAAATGTTAGTTAAGGGAGTAATTGAGCTAATGATTTACAAATATTTTGCGCTAATTAATTTATAACTATCTTGTCCTAACTGTGATATTTAATTTTTTATTTATTATCATATAGTATCTTATTTATTCTAATTAATATTTAATTATATTTTAATAATTACATTATTGTAACAAAAATAACTAATATTTAAATACAAACTATAATGTTTGTTCACATTCAAGTAAAAATTCAAAACCCTACAACTATAATGTTAAAGAATTCGTTTTACGAAACACTTATCATATATTTCAAAAGTAACTTGAAAATGTATAACTTTTAATTTAACTAATTATTTTAAACTAAAAGTTAACTAATCTTAAAAGAAACACAAAAACTAAAAGTTACTTGTCATGTTTTTTTTGCCAGAGATTATTTATTACTTGTCATGAGTAATAGTGAATCACACGTACGAACAATTTAATAACATATTTAAAATCAATGATAATTAGCACAACATAAATTTAGATGCATAATAAAATATACAATGTTTTTAAGTATAACTAAATAAAGTATATATTTATATTAATTTAGCCACATTTTAAGAATGTAGTACATTAAATATTACAACAAAAGTTTATCATTCCAAATAAGTTTATTTAATTCATACAATTTTTCCCATAAAATAAGTACATGTTCTTATAATTTAGATAGAATGACTTCTAATATTTTTAAATAAATATAAATAATTTTTTTATTTATTATTGAAAATGTCAGGATGGCCGAGTGGTCTAAGGCGCCAGACTCAAGTTCTGTCGAGGGCGTGGGTTCAAATCCCACTTCTGACAAATTTTTTATTAATTTTTTTTGTCGGATATTTTGTTTGAGTTAAACCCTACTGTTCCGTTTTCGCGAAGCATAAGAATAACCAACACTGGCAACAACCTTAGCAGTTACCACACATGGACGAGGAGGAACGTCACCAAGGAGGTTCTGTCGCGGGGGTTGTTGCCGCCGACCAAACCCCACAGCAACTCGTCGCCAGGGCCATAGCCCCCGTCAAGAAGGATTTCCTCCGGCCCCCTCCTGTTCGGTCTTCCGCTCCGACCGACGACGTTTCCACTTCCAATGAAAACAAGACCTCCGTTCTGGCTAAGGAGAAGAAGTCTAAGCGCCAAATCAAACGCGAACGTCGTCAGGTACTTCAACTACTCATTTGCTTGCCTCTGCAAATGCAATCTCTTTCTACATTTCAATTGCAGCGAACTTTGGTTGCTTTTGAACGTTGCAGGAACAAAAGTCAGCACGAAATCTATGTCCCGAGATTTCGAAGACGGGGGATGTTAGTTCATGTCCTTACAAAGACAAGTGTCGTTTCAGCCATGATTTGGAAGGCTTCAAGGCGCAGGTAGGTACTAGTTGATTGTTTTGATTATAGGACTGGTTTGTTTACGAGCTGATTCTGATTGTGTGATTCCTAATTATTAATAAGTGCAGAAACCGTCTGATCTAGAGGGACAATGTCCGTTCATTAAAACTGGAGGCTCTTGCCCTTATGGTTTAGCGTGTAGATTTTCGAGTACGCATGAAGGTGGTGTGCCTTCTAGCGATCCGAATGGTTTGAAGAATAGTTCCGAGGTGAATGGGTTGAGCAAGGATGTTCAAAAACTTTTGTGGAAAAATAAGATGAACTTCTCCAAGGCAGATCTCAAACTCAAAAGTCTCGGCCTCCTGGTATTTTATTTATTCTCTCCTTTGTTGTGTTTCATCTATGTTGTGTCATGTTTTGTTTCTCCATTACCTTGGAAAAGGCCATTATAGTCTAAATAAGGTTAAAGAAGTGTCTTTCTTATCATTTTTGTTACATTGTTGGCTATGAAGCAAATTACTCATAAGATTTATTTTTGAGGCACTTGAAGCTTTTTGTCTTACATTTTCGGAGTGGATTTAAATGTTAAATTCCCATGTAAATTTTCATTATCATGCATTTTTACTTCCCAAGTGAAACAGTGATGGCCTTAAATTCTAGGTATATAACGCCATTATTAGTGTTCCCCTTCGGTCATAGTCCATCTCTAAATCTGGTTTTGATGTATGTGTAACTTGCTTTTTGTTTTCAGTTATTTTATTTCATTTTGATCAATCACTCTTTTAAAAAATGTTGTAGGGACCATCTAAGTCAAAAAGGAATGACTTGGAAAATAAAGATGGAGTTGATGCTGGTTCAAATAAGTGTGATCAATCCGATGGCAGTGGCTCTTGTGTTGTTAGGAAAGATGATGACAATGACAGAGATGGAAAATCTGAATCTGATGAACTTTGTCCCCTGAAGCGAAGAAAAACTGAGGAATGTTGCAATCCCAAAGAGGCAGAAAATGAAGAGAATTGTGGTCCTAAGGAGGCAGAAAATGAAGGTTATAGTTCAATTGTAGTAGTTGTAGTTTATGATCTGACTCATGTAATATCTCTTTGACTTTACGTCCAGTTTGTGTGACTGGGCTTCATACGGCTGAAACAGGTGTTAGCGTTACTGAGCAAATTGTTGAAAGAAGTTGCACAAAATCAGAAGCTGATGCTATCACCCCAGAAACTGATCGAAGCCTGAAGTCTCACTCACGTGAGAAGAAGCTTATTGATTTTAGGGAGAAGTTGTATCTTGCACCCTTGACCACTGTTGGCAATCTTCCTTTCCGGAGAGTTTGCAAAGTTTTAGGTGCTGATGTAACTTGTGGTGAAATGGCAATGTGCACAAATCTTTTGCAGGTAAACTATATGGATTTTTTGCTGGTTGGTTTAAATTATTTTGCTTTCTTTCACCCTCAGTACGATGTATATCTTCTGTACGGGCAACTATGAAAGTTTAAGCAGTGCTTGATCTCACTTTGGTATAATGTGATATGGATTTCAGGCACTTCCCATACAATTTGGTATTTCTGTCATTTGTTCCCTAAAATTAATTTATCGAGTTGATTATTCCTATGGATAGACAATGTTGAAGGGATGCTTTTGATTGTAAACTCCTTAATTTTGAAAGCAATAAACCCATATGCTTGCCTAAAACTCAATTGAGATGATATAACATCAAGAACATGGAACTTGATAATTTTTAATCTGATCCTCCCTGTTCTATTCTGCACAAGTCTAACATCATGCCTTTTCCAGCCATCTATTGTTTCTTTTACGGCCAAGCTGTATTTACACTCTATTTGTTGTGATTTTACTTTTGTTATAGGGTCAAGCGTCAGAATGGGCATTGCTAAGACGACATTCATCTGAAGATTTATTTGGTGTCCAAATCTGTGGGGCATATCCAGATACTGTGGCACGCACAGTTGAACTAATTGAACAAGAATGTACTATAGATTTTATTGATATAAATATGGGTTGCCCTATTGACATTGTTGTGAATAAGGGTGCTGGATCAGCTCTTCTAACAAAACCTATGCGGATGAAAAGTATCGTAGAAGTAGCCTCGGTTACAGTGGATAAACCAATAACTATCAAGGTATTTGACATCCTAAACACTACGCATTTAGACACGATGATTTGTGCCATTCCCTTAAACATCTTGATAGCTTACTCTGTTTTGTGGTTCTAAAATTTTTTACATTCTGAGCCAGGTCCGATGACCTACGCTTGAAAAAATAGTGTCTTTTCGTACTTTTTAAAACTCTTTATCAAGCTTTCCAAAAGTGTATATGTACAAACTACTTATACATTGATGCAGGTACGGACTGCTTATTTTGAAGGGAAGAACCGCATTGATTCTTTGATAGCAGACATTGGCTCTTGGGGAGCCAGTGCCGTTACAATACATGGTAGGTCACGTCAACAACGCTATAGCAAGCTTGCTGACTGGGATTATATATACCAGTGTGCCAGGAAAGCCCCTACTACATTGCCAGTAGTGGGGAATGGAGATGTTTTTTCATTTGTAGACTGGAACAACCACAGAACTGAATGCCCTGAACTTGCTACGGACATGATTGCTCGTGGTGCACTGATTAAAGTTAGTATACCCTGGTTCACTGGCCATTCTCTCTTTACTTTGGTTTGTCATTCAGTATTACATCTCATGCCACTTGTCTTCATTGGAAGCATCATGGGTGTTTGAACATGACAATTTTTTTTAATCGAGTTAACTAATGACTGTGGTGTGAAGCCTTGGATATTTACGGAGATCAAGGAACAAAGACATTGGGACATCAGTGCTGGCGAGCGTCTAAATATTTTCAAGGATTTTGTTAATTTTGGTCTTGAACACTGGGGTTCTGACACAAAAGGTATACTCTATTAATGGAGGGTTAATTATCTTGTGCAAAGCATGAATGATCTCTATACAGCGTAGTTTCTTGTCCTTTTCCCTTGCAAAAGATGCAATGATTGTGTTGGGTAAGGGTCCTTTTGGACTACGAACATTTGGTTTTGGGTAGTACCATTAAAGATTGACAATTTTGCTCATATAAATGTATATAAAGTATTATTATTTATGCTTTTGTTCCCTAGTTTTTAAGTGTGCCTATTTTCTCTCACCCTCTCTTTCCCAATTGTGGAGATTTTATTTATTATATATTGTGCTACAGGGGTTGAGACAACAAGGCGGTTCTTGTTGGAATGGCTTAGCTACACTTGCAGGTATATACCTGTTGGTCTTTTGGATGTGGTTCCACAACGATTAAACTGGCGTCCACCTTCTTACTGTGGGCGTGATGAGCTTGAGACACTAATGGCCTCAGACTCTGCTGCTGATTGGGTATGCAGTTCTCTTTTGTTTCAAATGATTTAATTTCAAGTCTACCTTTGTTAATTTCTTTGGGGAAATTGTGCTGCCTCAAACAACAGAAAAATGTTTTTTTATTAAACACAGGATGTAGGCGGCAGAGAAATGTGTCTTGAGACTAAGAACACTTTCTAATTATTTATTTACAGTCTTACACTTTCTAATTATGCAAATAGGGATAGTAATTAGTTAATGTTTTGGCTTGTATAAAAGGTTTATAGTTGAGGATGAGAATGTTGCGTTGGATGATTGTGACACATACTAGATAAGATTAAGAATGATTGCATTGGAGATAAGATGGGGAAGCGAAGTACCTACTGACACTCTAAAGTGGTAGAATTTCTGCTTAGGTGTCCTAGAATGGAAACAAATTAGACCCAAAAAAACCTTCAAGCCAGGTCAATAATTTATGTACATTAATTACCGATAGGCTTGGTTGTTGCTGCATCACCACTTTTAATTAAAAAGAATAAGGGAGTTTGACTAGACAATGAAAAAACCCAATCAGGCTGCCAAATATGAAATATTTTCTGGAGGAGACCTTGGCAATAATGCAGGGTTTTGTCCTTTGAACACATTTCTTATTAAAGCAACATAAGATAGAATAGCATCGCAGTCCCTCATGCTCTGCTAAAGATTTTTTTTTCTTAATTTACATATTACTTTTAATATATTTTTTTCCCTATCATATACTTTTTCATATATATATATATATATATATATTTCTCTTATTTTACATATTTCTTTTCATGCACAGATACGAATATCAGAGATGTTACTTGGCAAGGTTCCTGATGGCTTTACATTTGCACCAAAGCATAAATCAAATGCGTACGATAGGGCTGAAAATGGTTAATTCTAGGGTTAATTATCGATACTAATTCTGATGAGAAACATTTTCTTCTATACTGTTGCCCTGTGTTAGCTTGAAAAAAAGCTTGGAGACTATAGTCAGCATTCTTATCTATTTGTTTCTTTTGGGGGTATTGATCATAATTGACTTTGACTATTCAACCCATATTCTATAGTCTAAGTTCTCTACTAAGAAACTACAAAATTTAATAAAAATGACATTTGAAGTGTAAGCATTTATTGTTTTTTAGAGTCTTTATGGGGGATGAACTGTGTGAATTGAGAGAAATTGGATTGGAAATTTGACCCATGTTTAAATGTGTTTCAATATGTATGAATTTCTCCGATCTTTCATTGGTTGAAATGGAAATGGAGTATAAGCTGGTGGGGAAAAAGTGAATCAAACACGTGTCACCGTCCATGAATAGCTTGCTACCGTACTAGTACTGAAGTGTCCTGATAAGTGACAATACTTGATCTAATAGAATGACACGAATGCTAAGTTATTATTAATATGTCGACAAGCGTTACTCTATCTAAACTAACGAAAATCAAAAGGACTCTTTGTGCGTGTTTTTCCTCTCTTTGTGGACATTTCCATAAAAGCAGTTTTTTTTTTTTTAAATGGAATCGACCTTGTGTTTTGTAACACTTTGTTTTTTCTGTGTTTTGGGTAGAGATGATTGTCTATTCAATTAAGACATTATTTCGCCAGTTTTGATGTTCCACTAAAGCAATAGCATTTTTTTAAATTTGGGATAGACATCACGTTTTGTAAAACGCGAGTTTTTTCCATGTTTTTGGATAGAGATCATTCTCTTTCCTGCTTACAGACACTATTTCTTTAGTTTGATGCTGTTCCATCAACGCAAAAGCAGATTATTATTATTATTATTTAGAATTTGGGATCCACGTCACGGGATATTTTTTGGATAGAGATAATTCTCTCGTTACTTAAAGGCATTATTTCGTTATTTTGGTATTGTTGCACAAACACAACCCGGTTTTTTAATTTGGTATTATCACTTTCTGTAGCACGTGATTTTTGTGTTTTGGATAGAGATTATTTATTTTCGTACTTACTATAAATTAAGAAAGTTGTCGAAATGTGACATCCCGCCTCCTACATATACCTTTAGGGTGTTTATGTTGAAGGAATAAATTATCACTAGAAACTAATTATCATATTATGACCATATACTTATCCAACTAACTGGACTGGTTTAAAGATTATGAAAACATAATAATAAAATTATTAAATTGACAACAGATCCAATTAATGTTATTTTCTTTAAAGGATGAAAATGTAAAAGAACGTTGTCATTATTAGAACACTTACTTTAAAAATGAATAAACTTCTCTTCTTAATTAGTGTTATATATGGAGAAATATAGTGAAAGATATTTTAAAGACTACCATACTATACTACAGTATGTTTCATAATTTATAATATATTTGAGTAATTTCAGAAACTACATTGACAAAAGTATAATTTCAGAATATAACCTGTGTGGTGTATCCCCCAATTCTAAATAGGGAAAGCTCCAACTATGCAGATCTTAACACAGAATGAGACCAACAGACATTAATTATTAAGCATAGGGCATAGCTTGTAGTAGTGTGGTTCGGCATATTTATCTATTCAAACACCAACTTAACAGAAAAGAACAGATCCATTCCCATTTCTCATACGCTGACAATCTTATTCTCAGACACTCCTTCCTGGTTTCTAACCCAACCCCCTGCATCAATAGATTTCAAACTCCCATTCAAACCATCGTTCCAATCAAACTCATCAAGGCTCTTCGCTTGAAGTTCTTCGGGCTGAACAGGGTACTTCCCCGAGAAGCAAGCATAGCAGTAGTTTGGAGCATCCTCCTCCAACAACATCTTCAACCTGTCCAAGGGAAGAAAAGCAAGCGAATCCGACCCAATGAACTCCCTTATTTCCTCCACACTCATCCTGTTCGATATCAACTCCTGCTTACTGGGCGTGTCAACACCATAGTAACACGACCCAATAATGGGTGGACACGCAATCCTCATGTGAACCTCTTTAGCACCCGCCTCCTTTATAAGCCTCACAATCTTGGACGACGTGGTGCCCCTCACAATGGAGTCATCCACCACCACAACCCTCTTCCCTTCAAGCACGCCACGCACTGGAGACAGTTTAAGCTTCACTCCAAAATCTCTTATTTTCTGCGAGGGCTCGATGAAAGTCCTCCCCACATAGTGTGACCTAATCAACCCTTGCTGAAAGGGAACCCCAGCTTTTGCAGCGTAACCAAGCGCAGCTACAACCCCAGAATCAGGAACAGCGATCACAACGTCGCACTCAACGGGACTCTCAGTGGCCAATATTTCCCCGAATTTTCTCCTAGACTCGTACACAGACCTACCGAAGACAACAGAGTTGGGAAGCGCAAAGTATATATGCTCAAATATGCATTGCTTTGGCTCAGGATGAGACACGAGGCAGAGGGATTGGATGCCCGTGTGGTCCACCACGATAACCTCACCCGGGTAAACCTCTCTCTCATACGTGGCTTCGATCAAATCCAGCGCACATGTCTCCGAAGCGAAAACCACTGCGCCGTTGCTTCTCCTTCCCATCACCAAGGGTCGGAACCCGAAGGGGTCCCTCACGGCCACCAGCTTGTCCTCGGTGAGGAACACGAGGGAGTACGCGCCCTGGAGATTCTCGCAGGCGTCCACGATTCTGAGGAGGAAAGGTCTGTGTTTGGAGGTGGCGATGAGGTGGAGGACGACCTCGGTGTCAGAGGTGGTATTGAAGATGGAGCCGTTGTCTTCGAGTTTGGCGCGGAGGGAGCGGTAATTCACGAAGTTACCGTTGTGGGAGACGGCTACGGAGCCGAAGCGGTAGCCGGCGACGAAGGGTTGGACGTTGTTGAGCATGGAGTGGCCGGCGGTGGAGTAGCGGACGTGGCCAATGGCGGAGGAGCCGGGTAGCTGAGAGAGCTTGGACTCGTCGAAGACGTCGGAGACGAGGCCGACACCGGTGACGGAGTGGAAGAGGTTGTCGTGGACTGCGACGATGCCGGCGCCTTCCTGGCCGCGGTGCTGGAGGGCGTGGAGGGCGAGGGAGCAGAGACGCGAGGCTTCTGGGTCGCCGTAGATGCCTACGACGCCGCACTCTTCCCGGGGCTTTTGGTCATCATTGAAGGAGGAGAAAGTGTTTGTGTCTTTTGTGCATGCGAGAGGCAGAGGGTAACGGGGGTTGTGTATGGAATGAGAGAGCAGGGTTTGGAAGGAGTTGTTGTTGTAGAGAAGAAAAGTGTTATTGTTGGTGGTGAAGGTTGGTGTGTTGCAGAAAGGGAAAGAGGAGGGTTTGCAGAGGGAAGAAGTGCACAGGGTGGAGAGATTAGATGAGGCCATGATAACAGGAGGAAGAAGAAGAAGAAGAAGAAGAAGTGAAGAAAAAAAAAAGGTGAAGAAGCGGAAAGTAGAAGGAGGTAATGTTCTGTAACAGACCAACACTTTCTTCCGGGTTTTATTAGTTGCTTCTTGGGACCCACCAAACAACTCCTTTTCACGCTTTCTCCCTTCGAGATTCCCCACCTTCTATTTTTTTTTTTTTTATTTCTAAATATATATTTATATTTATTCTTATGCTTGGATAATATCGTTCTTAGTTACACTTATATTTGGTTCTGTTTCTATTAGTATCTAGAGGCAACTTTATAGGAGTGAGTCCAAGTTTTTTATTTTTATTTCCATGATTTAAGTCAATGGATTAATTTTAAATAAATTCTCGAGAAGCGGTATGATATGATAATAAAATATAATGAAAATTCAATTATAGGATAACAGAGTATATTTAATATTTCTTCAAATGTAATGGGACTTCAATTATGTATAATATATTTGATATTTCGTTCTATAATTATATATTATATCTCCATTATAAATATTCTTATTATTGAGATAACAAGTATGCTTAGCGATAGAGATTTATTACAGGCAACAAGATATTATTATTGGTTAAATTGAGAGAAATATATATGAAATTGAAAACTATATATATATTAAGATTTTGTTTGATGATACAATAATGATTTGAATTAAACTAAAAATAAGTTGAGGTTTAAGCTAATAGAAGATTAAAATTATAGTATGAATAAAATGGAAAACCCAAAAAAAAAAAAATATATATATATATATATATATATATATATATATATTATTATTATATTAGTTACAAATTACAACATGTCGTTCTCCCTTTCTACTTCTCCTGTCTATTCCTTACACACCGAAACCCACGTATGTCTAAATAGGATAAGTCCTTAATTTTCACATTAAGCATTTCTTGTCTTTTGGATAATCCAATGTCTACAACACGTCACAGTTCTGATTCGGATTAATAGAATTCGGTGCACTTTCATTTTTAATTTCTATTTTTTTCTTTTAATTTTAAACATTACATCTTTAGATTTGTTTTATTATATCATTGTTTAAAATTTTTATACTCTCTCCCTCACTGTTTATATAAGACCAAATTATCCAATAAATTAAAATTAAGAAGTCATTAACTAAATTGTTGGTAATAAATATGTTAAATTTATATTTTATTAGTTTTTAAGTATTTCAGTTTTAAATTAATTAATACAATACGATGAGATTAGTGCAAAATGAATTTTTTCAGTCACACTATTTTTATTAGATAAAAAAATAATCGACTTAAAACAAATACGGTGACATTTTTGTAAAAAATGACGTTATTTTTACATCAAACTTATTATGTGCCGACATAAAAGTTATTTTTTACATGAGGTAACTCTCTAACCGACGTAAAAAATAGCTTTTACATCGGCCCTATGAGATCCGATGTAAAAGTCAGGTTTTAGTCCAGCTAGGACTCTTTTTTTTTTTCTTTTCTTTCCTGCGCGAGAGTTTTTGAGTGACGATGACGATAACAACTAAATAAGTTTCTCTCAATGTACATTTTAGTCACAGTGAGTGACGAAAATACTTACATTTACATTATGTCCCGTTTATGGCGGTTTGACGTTTCTCTCCGATTGAATTCAAGTTTTAGAACATTTTTTTGTATATTTAAGATTAGTGTTATATGTATGTGTCTTTGAATCCGTGATTATTTTTTGAAATTTCAATCACGTTATTGAAATTAAATGTCTCCACTTGATTGTTATTGAAATTGAAATAGTTTGTGATTATATGTTCATGTGTTTGAGTGGATTTACGGTATACATTGCATTTTTATGTTTTTCTGGTTTAGTTGTTTGAATTCTACGTTTTTTGTTTTTTGTAGTTTGAATTATAATAGAGTATGAAGTGAAGATAATGTTCGTGAAGATATTACATTATATAGGACTTAAGGTTTTGTGATGATGAAAATAAAACATAAAATGTTTGAAGAAAGATAATTTTTTACTCTAATATCGGATTTGGACGCACATTATATAAAAACGAAAGGAAAAAAGCGAAGAAGAGGGGGCAAATATCTAAAAAAGATTTGTCTTAATAATTTTTCCAAACTATACTCCTATCGACATGTAATAGACAAAAGTTTGTACAGTGTATAACTAATTATTTGATGGAGGTAATTGCTTTTAATATTTGTTAAATTCATTTACCTTTATGTGTATTACATGTTAACAAAAGTTAAATTAATGTTTCAGGTATTTCACGATTCATCTATCTCCACAATTAGAATATGATATTACACAAATTAGAGAATAATGAACAAGTTTTTCGTTGAACATTTCTAGTACTTAATTTGTAGATTATGTAGTTTAACGTTTAGGTAGCTTAGTTTTTATATTAATTTATACTTTGTATTAATTTAGTTTTGTAATATATACCTTTTAAGTAATTTAATCTTTATATTATATTGTATTATTATATTTTTAATTATTATTTATAAGACAAGAAAAAAAAATTTTAAGGTGTAGCTAACATAAATTTATGTTGACTATATCCCAAATTCAATATAAATGTATGCATTCAGTATTAATAACAGACTTATTTTTGAAATAAAAAAAGTTAAAATATCTTACTCAAAAGCCCTAGTGTAAACTATATTTTATAAGAAAGACAAAAACTATTTTAATTTGAATATTATAAATAAAAACGAAAAAAATATTTATACGTGTGTGGGCATGATTTGATATAACTACATTTCAAATAATTATAATACATCTCTAGCAAGGCGGGTGATTTCATGTTTTATTAATATTATTATTAAATAAATAAAATAAAAAATATATTAGTAATGAGTATTTTACTTAAAATAATAATAATAATAATAATAATAATAATAAATACAAGACTTTGTGGTTAAAAGGAAAATTATGAATATATTATACAACCTCTTACATGATTCATTACAATTTAAAATTTAGAGATGAAATTCAAGTTCAATTGTGTTAACTATTTTAAATATATTTTTTAATTACGATAAAATTTGTAAATTTTTTTACAAAAATTTATTTAATTTAATTTCTCTCAAATTAAAAAATATAAGTTAATTAATTATAAAAGATACTTAATATTTTTAATGTTTTTCTCGCTATATTTTTATTTTATTTTTGTATAACATCATTGATCATATGTCATTTTCTCTCCATTTAATTTACCTTTTCTTTCTACCTCTTCCTTACGTAGCAACGCATTCAGCATTTTATTATTATATATAACACGTCAGATCAGAATCAGACTAATACAATTCGGTGGATTTCCAACTTTAATTTTCTAGTTGCCATTTAATTAAAACGTTACATCGTTAAGTTAATTTAATTGTGGTGTATTTTAAAAAGTCAAACTTTTATATATATATATATATATATATTATGTGTGCTCACGTGATATAATATTTACTACATGATCAAATAATAATAATAATCTACACTAGAAAATGGTTGATTTTATGTTTAACGAAAATTGAAAACATAATAATAATAATAATAATATTATTATTATTATTATTATATGAAATAAATCAAATTTAAATTAATAAAATAGAAGATGTTATTATTATTATTAGTTTATGAGCAAGATGCCTTTAATTATTATAACGATGAATATATTTTTTATTATGTGATAAATGAATAATGAGACTCTGAAAAAAAAAAAGTTACCATCAACCTAACTTATTATTTGAATAACTATACACTATTTTGTATCTATTAAATTCACATGATGTAATAATATTTAAGATTTAGAGATAAAATTCAAATTACAATGACTGAGATTACAGTGGTATTATAAATCCTAATTTATATCTGAAAATAATACTTCTTTATAAACCTAATTAATTATTGTAAAGAAAAATAAAATAAAAAACAATAAATATACGTTATTGTTTAGTCAAGATTATAATCAAATATATTTTGGTCTTTAAATTTATTGGTATATTTTTGTTAATTTTTAGTTATTTTACAAGAGCATAATAATAATAATAATATACATTAATTTTTATTATTATATTATTATAAGAAGATTGTTACGTGAAAAAGGAATTCTCAATGTATCATTATTGAAAACTTCGATTATGTATGCGTCCATGTTATCGGTAATATATTCTATAAATTTATTAGAGGTAATACTGTAGTAATGTGATCAACCTTGTTTTTATCTAGGATGATCACCTTAAAATATCAACTAAATTGTTTTAGATAAGTATTTAAATGTTTTTATTTCAATTAAACAACTAGATTTAAGTATTGATAGGAACAATATAACAAAACTTTTATGAAAAATTTCTTCAACATAAAAATACTCGATCAGTCAATTAAACTTCATTAAGATAAAAAAAAATATATGAGAATTAGAAACCTATAAACATAAGCCACTAAAGTTTCACTAAGATAAAAAAAAAAAGTATAAGTACTCAAATTAAAGTACCTACAAATAGCCAATATATCAGAACAACAATGCTCTAAAATTTGAAAAACAAAACAAAAGAAATCTAAGATTCAGCCAAAGGTTGATATCTCCAACTACAAATATCCAATTGACGATCCTAACAATCAAAATAAATAACTTACGTCATCGCAAACCTACTATCAAAATTTTAGCCTGATCTAACGGTGAATGAAGCAAAAATCATAAATGTGGTACATAAACGAAATTGTTTTATTTTCTTTTTCTCTTCAAAGTGAAATTATTTTCTGTTATAACCTAGAAGATCCTTCTCCACTTAGATTAAGTGAGATAAGATGGACTTGACTAATTTGAGCTTTTTAAACACATAGTTGGGAGTTCAACCTAACACATCTCCTCCTCACAATTATGTGAAGGTGATCACCAATCCGGCGATCTCACAACAAGTTTTAAACTTCTGCATTGACAATGACTTGATTATCATATCAATACCATTGTTATTTGTATGTACTTTACCTAATTCCAACAACTTAGCATCCAAAGCATCGCGTATCCAATGATACCTCACATTAATATGTTTGGATCTAGAATAAAAGTTGAATTCTTACCAAGATGAATAACACTCTGACTGTCTACAAATAATGGATAATTATTTTGCACAAAACCAAGCTTCTGCAAGTATTTTTTTCAACCATAACAACTCCTTGTATGCTTCTGCAATGACAATGAATTCTGTCTCTGTAGTACATAATACTACACACTTTTACAATTTTGATTATCAAGTCATAATTCTCCCTGCAGACTTAATCAAATGACCCGAAGTGAACTTTCTACAATCAATGTCTCTAACCATATATGAGTATGAGTAACCCATCAAAATAAGTTTATTACCTCCAAAATAAAGTTTCAAATCACTAGTATCATGAAGATACCTCAAAATCCATTTCACAACATTTCACTGCTCTTTACTTGGATTGGACAAGAAACGACTGATTATAGCTTAACACTCAATTTAAAATGAGTTACACTGCTTTTACATTTTTCATCTAGAATATCTACAACATCTTCTTAATACATTGCTCCTGTATTAGCCAAATTTTCTTTGCACTTTTATTACGTGATATACATATGTCAAATATCTTTTTAGCAGCTCCCATGTCTTTCATAGCAAATGACTCGCCCAATTGTTTCTTTAACCTGTCAATTCTAAAAATATTTTTCCCAACAATAAGTATGTTATCAACATATAATAATAGGATAATAAAGTTATCATCAAAAAACTTTTTAACAAGACACAATGATTAGAATTAGTCCCTTTGTAATCTTGATCACACATAAAAGACTCAAACTTCTTGTACCACTGTCTTGAAGTCTGTTTCAAATCGTATAGACTTTTTCTACGCATATAATCTTCCTTGCCTTCAACAAGAAATCATCATGTTATTTCATGTAAATCTCTTCCTTCAAATTACTATGAAGGAAAGTTGTCTTCACATTTATCTGCTTAACTTCCAAATCAAGGGTAACAGCTAAACTTAGTACAACTCTAATGGATAACATTTTCACCACAAGTGAGAAAATCTCGTTAAAATCAACATCCTTTTTTTGTCTAAAATTTTTCACCACTAATCTGACTTTGTACCTTGGAGATGTAGAATTAGTTTTTTGCTTCTCCCTAAAAATCTACCTATTCTCTAAAGCCCTTAGACAATTTTATCAAGTTATAAGTGTGATTATCATGTAAAGATTTCATCTCATCTTGCATTGCATCTAACTATTTTCGTTTTTCTTCACTTTCCAAAGCTTCTTCAAAATACTCAGGTATCACATTTAAATATAGTTAGTGTGCTCTGGTATCACATTTAAAAATTGACCTCAACATTTTTGCTAATAGTTATTTGCATTAAAAATAATACAAGGATTACCAAAATAAACTCTAGTTCTAATTAAAAAAAAAATAGTAGTCTTTTCAAAATTTTCTAAAACAAATTAGACATTAGGTAACCAACCGAATCCATTCCAATTTTGATGGGAAACAGTCACTTTGGTTGATTTCACAAATTTAACATCGGAATAGTTGTTTTGTTTCGCCTAAAATGTGAAACACTAATATTGGGAATCTCCTTGTTAATGAAACTCACCGTTGACCTTGTTGTATTCTAATCCCCACCAAATTAATTGGATTCTTGAACCAACATAACGCTACACCTCTTTCTTATCGTATTTTTTTTGCTTTATTGACCACGAAAAAGGTTAGGGTTGAGAAAGAGTGTATATGAAGGAGTAATTTGTTCTTCTAAATCAGATTCTTCCATCTTTACTCAGCAGCGCATGATGCACCACAAGTTTGTATAAACGTTGAATCAGAATCAGATTATTTCACATATTTTTACTTTTACTTTGTCTTTTCTTCTTCTTCTTCTATCTCCAAACACGTTTTACACTCTTTCTAGATCTGGAACAGTAACTATCTGATTAATCAATCAGGAATACAAACTTCTTATTCTCAATAAAAAAAATATTATTACTTTTTTTCATTTAACATTCTTGATATGATTCTTATTCTTCAAGTAAATGGTTTGCCACAGTTATGAATCCAAAAAAAAAAAACTTAATATCTTGAATACGTACTTTGAATTTTAATTTTAATTAAAAAAATATAAAAATATTAAACTTTCTTAGAACACTGGTATGTTCATTTAAATTATGAATTATTTATGGCGAGACTATTTATTTAATTATTATGGGTTGTCAACTTGAAAATAGTTTAACATGTTTGTGATGAACTAGAATTGAAAAAGATTATATGTTCAATGTGGATCATTGAAATAAAAATGGAAAGTAATTCTAAATAATGTGGATACTAAATTGTTTACAGACGATAGAAGTGAATATATTCCATGGTGAGAAACTGTGATAGTAAGAAGAATGTTGTGATAAAGATGTTTTGGTATTTATGAAAAGAGAAGGAGCTCCCAATGCCCCGTGGTGGGTAACAAACATAGGGACGATATAAGATAGACTTAAACTAAATCCACTTTCTACATTTCTCCAAATTTAATACCAACAAATGTTTATTTATGTATTTATCACAAGTTTATAGAGAAATTATTTTTGGCATGTTTTATTCTAAGAAAGCTACGTCTTTCTACATATTTTATCTTCATTCTAAACGAGTATGTAAGTTATATCCCATGGAAATAACTCTAGATATTTTCTAACCTTTTATTATTATTATTACTATTTTTATTTTTAAATATATTAATAGCACTTTACAATTAGTATATACTCTACGTTTCATTTATTTAAAGTATGAATATACTTTGAATTTTTATAACTATATTCAAATGAGTCAGCAAACTAAACATTACCGAGTCTGAACAGGAATTGATCAATCAGTTTACAAAGCAATGGACAAAAAACGAACCTCAAAAACTCCGAGAATAATTTTCATGGACATTTAGTTAGTTACTAATGCATTCGCTTCAGAATTAACGATGCATTGAACCAAGTTAAAACAACGATGGTGATAGCGGCATCCTGTGTTTATATATAAAACTTAAAAGCCCGTGGAGACTCGGTTTCAACCAAAATATTCTTGAAACCTTAGAGAGAGTCCACTTTCAACCACAACATTCTTCGTTTAGGAACAAACAATCGGATAACCTAGTCCAAATCATTAGATAACTTTATCATTTTTAACTTATCGGGGTTATTTTAGTAAACAAACCTCCAAATTCCTATTACACCTTATACCTTAGTTACCTATATTTCTAACTTATATTGGATTGAGCATTCTTCCGTCTAAGATTCATCCCATTCTAGCAATCTACTGAGATCCAATAACCCACTAGAGTTCAACATGGAAGCTTGTGAAGAGCTCTGGGTCTCACAGAATTGCTTTAAACTTGGAAAAAGGTGGGTACAAAGTTCTCTCGTTTATAACAGCTTTGGTACTTTATTTTATTTTTTCACACGTGTTGAAATCTCAGCTGCATTCTTAAATAGTGTCTGTGTTGAGATCAATTTACTAAAAAATGTTTGAAATTTATACGTTTCTCATGCCTGGTATGGAATGCATATATATAAAATGCATACAATGTTTATAGTCAGAAAAATGTGCTCTGTAAGCATATATAAAATGCTTTCTGATACATTTCACAATAATGCTCTTCTTCAAGGCTTTTGTGGTCAAACTCGGATCATAGGAGTGTTACATTGCAATTGTTTAACGTCAAATTGTAGCACAGCAGTGATTAACATGAAATATACCACTTGTATTGAGGGTGATGATCAATTTTTTAGTATACTAAATACTGTGATGGTCTAGATGACTATAGCTTTCTCCACACAATCTGGGAAGAGATACAACACTGGATCTCTACCAGCAACTTAAAGTTCTTCAGTTTGGAAGAGCAACATAAAATTCTTTCTTCATTAACAGGGTATTTGGATGAATGAAAATGAAATAAAATAAAAAATAGTCCAAAGTGGCCTTGTCTAACCTTGGTATATTCTGGATGAAAACATCCCAGTGAAAAGTGACGATTGGTAAACCCAGGAACCCAGGAACGCAGGACAACCCACAAAATTGAACGAAGTCCATGTAAGAAGAAAGAAACGGCTTAAAAATATCACATTCACATGTACATGCATCTAAATTTGGATAGCAATAGAAAAAAACATAATAAATTCCACTTACAGGAATAAGTAAAGCAAGAAAAAAGAATTTATACAGTAGATTCTCATGTATACTGACATGCTGGTTAAATCATATATGGGGAGCAAACCCAAAACTTGGTCTACATCACTTTCAGGGTTGAGAATGCAAGATCTTTGTGTTCAGATGATATTGTCACTTGAGAACACTAAAACAGCATGTTTCCAACAAGCATTTTAGTTCAGTGTTTCCGACCACTGCACACAAGTAATCCATTTGATAACTGAATGAAGCTGACCAATCTTAGGGATATAAATATCAAATATATGTATGTATCTTTGACAAAACCAAAACCCTGCAGAAGGCTTGATACTAACTATTTTTCTTCGATAACATCCTTCAGAGTATGATTATCTAAAGTACAGCTAGACACAGGTTCATTTAAACATACCTATCAAGATTGAAGGATCTGTCCATATCAAACAGGCACAGTGACAGAACTGATGCATTGGGAGGCATCTATTCCACATAAATGACACCCTCTTCAGGATCTTCCCCATCCCAATCATCGTCATCCTCATTAGTTGATGAATCCAACTGCTCCTTGTTTTGACTCCCTGATCTCTTCTCATCCTTTATTTTATCTAATATTGCAATCACCTGTAAATTGAAGTGTTGTGGATGCACCAGATTAGTTAAAGCTCACAGGACATCCAATATTAGAGTGGCCAACAATTTGCTGAAATTTGGAAAAAATAAAAATAAAAATGACACACGCACAAGTGAGCACTAATTATGAAAGCATGCCTCATTGGTGAAGATATTTAAATGCGTCCCAGAATTATGAGACCCACAATTCCATAATGAGAAACAAATGTAGATTTAGGAACCAAAAAACACACCCGTCCCACAAATAGAGAAAGCCCAAATGCAAGTGAATGAGAGCATGAGCATGAATTGTTGTTCATACTAGTGGCAAGAACAGTCTATATGTACCGGTTTATGCACACTTCAGATTGCTGTGTAAACCATGTAAAGTAAAGTAGAATAAAGACGATCCGAAACCGCTTAAAGTGGCAACCATAAGGTATTGCAATTGTAGAGACACAAACAACCTTAATGGACGTAAGAAAAATGTGGGTGTGGATAAAGGAAAACTGACGAATCTTGCGATTGTAGAGACAAAAAAACACACAAGTAAGTAAGCATACCCTGCTTCCTTTCTCAAAAGAATCATCCTCTATAAATCGTATCTCGGGAGTTAAGCGCAACTTCATACGCTTCCCCAACACACTGCGAACATATTTAGCCTTTGATTTCAAGCCAGCAATGGCTACTTCTTTCCCTCTTTCATCCCCAAAAACAGACACAAACACCTTAACCACCTACATATGATATTTGTCGAGCAAGGAAACCAATCAGACACCAAAAAAAAGAGAAAAAAACGGCGTTTTTTATTTAATAGTGATTAAGTAATTAAAGAGAGAACGAAGCATGCCTGCAAATCACCGGAGACTTGGACATCAGTGATGGTGGTAAGGGAGGAGAGATAACGGTCGGCTCCCAAGGAGGTTTCGGGAAGAATAGCATACTGCAACACCTTGTCTGTGAGAAGCATATCAGAAAGCTCTCTCCTTATTTGTTTGGCCACCATTTGGACTCTTCTGGGATTGGCCATGCACCTTATTCCGGAACCAACAACCGCCTTCCCTCTCAGAATTGGCAATGGGGTCACCCTCACTGTCACTCTGCCTGTTCCTGCGGCGGAGAAGTGATGGCTCCAAGGATAGGGATTCGGACAGGGACATGATGCAACCACTCCGGGCTGAACCATTGCTATCACTACACTTCACTTCCAAGATCAGATGCAGAGGTACCAAGCAAACCAACACCAACAAGGCAACACCAGATATTTTCCTTCTAGCCATATCCAATCAACACTCTTCTTTCCTTCCCAACCCGGCCCAACACAAAGCCCATCACAAACATTACAAAATTTATTTCTTTTATGTATTAAGATAACTATGGTTTCATAAAAAGTTTGTCCATGGTGGACCAAATTGTTGCCATTGCCAAGGCCCTGACCTTGTTGTGGCAAAAAAGGAAAAAGGATGGATTTTGCTGTCGTTGACTGATCCAGTTAGGGTGTAGCAAAAACAAAAAAACATCTTGACATCGTAGTTACTTGGTTAATTACCAATTTGCTCTTCATATGAACCAATTTCGTATTTTTTTAAACAGAAATTAAGGGTTTAATACTTGGTTTATAACATCTTAATTTAATAATATTAAAAATTAAAAATCTATATCTTTTATAAGTTTTTAACCTTCAAAATACATATAAAAATTAAATGTTTTATAATATTTAGATTTAAAATTCAACAATACATAATAATGTTTTTTAAAATAACAAGTTTCTTGAAGAAAAAAAATGACAAATCCTTCTATTTTTTAGAAAAGAAAAATCAAAATAACATCTATATAATATGTTTTTTTTATTGTTAAATGATTCTCATTAGTTCACTGATTTGCAGACCGGTTTAACTTGAAATCAATTTTATAATTTTTTTTATCCTAAAATATAAATGCATGTTAGAAATTTAGAATATCTCACCCAACCTACTCAGTCCAAATAAGCTATATACTTCTATTTACATGATTCTCTATCCAATCTTAGGTTTCTCAATAAAAATCTCTACAGAATCTTTTCTGTTGCCATTTATTTAAACAATCTCTTCCACTGACTCAATATTTACTTCACATGTCTTGTTTTTATCGCTAGCATTCAAAATATCCTGTAAACTACTATTTTAATCTAAGTGTATTTTTAATAATATAATTAAAATTCACAATAAAATAATTATAATTATAATAAATAAATATGTATATAACAAAAATTACATATATAAACAGAAAACGGTATATATAAGAAAAATGTATAGCCAGTAGCATTTGTTTTAGTAGTTATTTTCGTTATTATGCTATACGTTTTAACTTAAAGAAATTTAATTATTGTGTATTAATAATATAAAGTTTTTAAATTGGTATCTAATGATTCATGGCGATATATATGGATTTTTAAATATGATTTTAGAATTTATATCTAAAATTATTTTTTAGTTTATTGATAAAATTATTATTTTTACACTAATAGTAAATCGAGCATTATTCACATGACAGAAAGTCTAGATTTATGTTTTGAAATTGAATTTATTGAAGTATTATATATAACCTAATATAATGCTATTATATGTCTTATAGAAAAAAAATTCTAATCATAGAAAAACTACATAAATGAAAAGTATATAGATTTGAGAATATATAATTTTATTATATGTTTTATTATCTAATCAACGTCGTACATAAATTAATAATCATAGATAAAACTACATAATTCATAGATTTGAGGATAGCATAAAAAATTAATATAATTTGTTAAGCTAAATAACTTCTATTTATGTATATATAAAAATTACAAAATATGCAGATCATATTGTTCATAGAATATAATCTTATTCAAAACATATAAAATTATTATAAATAACAAGATTATCTTTTTGAATATTTATTATAATTGTAGATTTAAGAGTGTGAAGTTGATCTAAGAACTAAATTAGTAGAAGCGGGCCAGGTCACGTGGGTGCATTTGATATGTTTCAGTTCCCACCTTCTCTGTGGGCCCCTTATCACGTGCTCGTCTCTTCCCTTCCCTCCAACACTGGGCTCCTCCGTACCCTAACTTAATCCTCAGTGAGGATTCCTCACCCACCCTCTTTCACCTTCACTTATCATCAAACCATATTTACTTTCACATCTTCAATTACTATTTTTTTTTTTTTCAAATTTTTTTATGTCAAATTTCAATCCAATCCACAATTACATTTAACAAATTCAAACCCCTTTTCATAGTTTTCTTTTCTTATTCTCATCTCAATTTCTTTGAACTCACATTACAGAAATTGAAAAAAAAAAAAAAACTCCAAAGACAGTTGGCACATTTTGGTGTGCTTTATGTTAATTCATAACTGATCACTTATTATGATCGATGATTTGATAATCGTACAACGAGAATCACCATGTTGGAAAGCTTAATTATTGAGTATCATTATTGTTACTTTTTGTCATACACGATCAACAATTATTTGATTCCTCTAATAATATTGACTTGGATGGTAACACAACGAAGCTTGTGGGGTTACCTCAATTTGATGGTGAAAAAGGAAGAATGTGTGTAAGTTTGACTGATATTTGTAGCTTGTAGTAGTTAAGCAGCCCCAAAAAAGGGAAAAGGGAATAATGAAGAAGATTGGGAGATTGTATGGTATAGGATGCGATGGTGCAAATGGTGAGAATCACTTGCGAAATGTACCTCTCAGGAATGTGTTTTGAAGGGCAACATGGTTTTCAGACAAACGATATGCCACCCTCTATCATCTCCCCACATTACAGTCCTTTTCATTTCTCCAACCTTTTGAGCCAAGACAAAAACATATTACGAAAATAACAACTGAGATAATCACAAAATGTGTTATTAACACTGGATCGCGGAGATATATATGTTTTTATCCGGGTATAATTAAAGATTATTTTTTTGAAGTAGGAAGATTGGGATATAAAGCAGAAAGCAACAGAATGGACATAGAATGAGATGTAGCATTAAGAGTGTGATTCTGAACGTAAAGGTAGAGTACAGTGTGGATGGTCACATACACAATAGACCAAGATGGAGTCTTTCCAGGAAATAGGCGAGAACATGGGTGGGGCACTTTGGGACAAAATTCCAATACACAAATTCCCAACTGATGTAGATTTAGACGCAGATCACAAATATTCTTCCCAGTAGATCCAACAGAACTATTCATATCCCAAAGTATTTACCATCTGTAAAAACTGAAGAGAGAAAAAGGAGAAGATATTGTTTTGGAGGAGCTAAGCGAGGGAGTTGGTGAGGTAGTTAAAGAATAGTTGTGAATGGGAGAATCTGTTTGTGGTTAAAACCAAAAGAAAGAAAGAGAAGTTTTAATTATTAATAATGAAGATAGGACCATTTAAGCAAGACGCAGCTTTTGTTTCAAAACTGGTCCTTCTCTGCAAAAGGAAGGGAAGTTCCTTTCAAACTTTGTTTTCTTGCAACTGCCTTTCCCTTTAATTAGTGCGAATCATGATTGTTCTACCACTGCGCCATCCTTTCAAGATCCTCTCTTTCGTTTCTATCTGAAAAACCACCACCACATATTTTGAAGCAAGAGTTAGTGCATTCAGGGACAGATTAGTGTTTGCAAGAGCTATGTATAAATAGATACACATTCACAGGGAGGAGATAACAACTCTTACGAGTTCTAACATTAATTATTTCATTTTGTCAATACAGACTTTCCACGTCTATTCTATGAGGTATTCAACGACAGTTTTACAATTGAAGTGAAAGTCTGATTCTAATTTTTAACGTGGATTTTATATAACTGACGTTTGAAGTCTGGTTTTTGATATCAATGATTTTTATATAGAGTTTGAATCCGATACTCTCACCACTAAATTATTAGAATTTTTTGATAATAACTTATAAATAAATTATATTTATATACAAATAAATATATATTCGTATAAATATATAAATATAAATATATTTATATATTTTGATATAAGAAATTTTAATATTACCGACGATCAAAATTAGTCAACAATAACAAAAATCCATCGGTAATATCCATTTACTAACGAATTTTCGACTGGTCAAAAATCCATTGGAAATTTGGTTGTCGATAAATATTACCGACGATTTAATAGTCCGTCTGTAATTACCGCTAAATGTTTTACGAAATTACAATCCGTCGGTAATATACCGCTAAATGTTTTATGAAATTACAATCCGTCTGTAATATTTTTATTATTTATTAAATATTTTACTTATATAACCCCATATTTTATGTATATAATTCGAACCCAAGTACTTCGAGCTTAAAGGTCGATACTCTAACAAACTAAGCTACCAAAATTTTTTGATAATAATTTACAAATAAATTATATTTATATTCAAATATATTTATATATTTATATATTAAAATATTAAAATATTTATATATTTATATATTTACATATTTATATATTTACATATTTATATATTTACATATTTATATATTTACATATTTATATATTTATATTTTTACATTTTTAAATTTTTAAATTATTATATTTTTAAATTTTTAAATTTTTATATATTTATATATTTATATATTTATATATATATATATATATATTTTATATATTTATATATAATTAAATATTTATTTTTTAAAATTATTTAATTTAAGAAATTATTATAAATTAATCTAATTATGATCAAATTAAATTATTAAATAAAAAATATTTAATTTTTTAATTAGGTGAATATTTACTAATTGTTAATTTATCGACGTAAATATCCGTCTGTAATTTACATATGAATGTACCGACGGATATATCCGATCTGTAATTAATTGTTAATTTAACCGACGGATATATCCGTCGGTAAATTCATCTGTAAATTACTGACGGATTTATCGACGGATATATCCGTCGGTAACTAATTATTATTTTACCGACGGATATATCCGTCGGGAAGATCAAATTCCACAAATATTTTATATCCGTCGGTAAATTCCATCGGTAATAATTATTTTTCGACGGTTACAAATCCTTCGGTAAATATCCATCGGTAATACGCGATTTTTTTGTAGTGTATAGTTATATATTTATATGTTAGATGTGAGGACACACTCAAAAGTGAAAGTGTGTGTCGAATAGGTTTTTAAAATTTGATGTCAAATTTGTGAGCGAGTCTCTTTATACGGGTTTGTAATTTAATGACAGTAATATAATCTTTATAATTTAGTTATATAATGATATAAAATAAATTTGGGAAATGTGTTATTTACTCAAGCGAACAATA